TGAAAGTGAAAGGACTCAGTGCTACTAAATTAGCTGAAATGGTCTGAAAAGAAATAAAAGTTAACCTGGAGACATTATGATTAGCGTAGCCTGTATATATGACAAAAGTGTTCTGCCAGACATTAAGACTTACTGTAGAAGTACAGTGAAATGAATGATTTGCTGTTGGCACAGACTGGGACAGAGCTCAAGGGAGCTTTCAGAAGACGAGAATGCCTGTGGATTTAACGGGTGACAACAACTGGCCCCTGAAAACTGTTGGAGGGAGGACAATTTACTCAACTAATGATACCACTTTGCCATTGGCTGGGGGTTTGTGGAGTGAAGAGGAACACATGGTCATCCCACATACCTGAACGATTTCAAATGTACCAAAGTTTTAAATGCAAACAATGCAATCAGGATGCATGGTTGCAATGTTTGTATGATTTCAGCATGGGGAAGTCTTGAGAATTTTAGAAGAAAGACACAACACTCATAGCCAGGAGGAAAAAGACTGATATATACAACTATCTCTTGATGTAAACTTTAGCACTTAGAAGGACCGCTGATTGGACAAGAGTTTGAATATGACGATGTATATTGAAGTCATCATGAGTAAGGATAAGAATAAATCAAATTATATTCCAAACAAGACATTAAATTCAAAAAGAATAAGTTTTTAGAAACATATGATCATAATGATACAATTTCTGTGTAATAAAAACAGAGGAAAAATCTACAAACTAAATGTGCAACTACACATGTAAGAATTTTGATCTACAGAAACATATAGAGACACTGTAAACTATTAGCAGTGATTAACTCAGATAATAGGCTAGAGAAAGATCAGGGGATCTAATTTGACTCTGCGTGCTTTTGCAATGATCGAATACTTACAAAATTCTATTTGTGTACCCTTCATGAAGCTACATTTTATACAAAGCAACCTACATCTTATAGCATGGTAGAAAAATCTTACAGATAAACCTGACTAGTGAAAATAAGGCAAAAATAGAAACGCCGGAGAAAAGTTCACTTTATGGTAATAGGGCTTCATTTTATAGTGTCACATCACCGAAAACCTATTTTAAAAAGCCAGTAGAAAAGGGAAGAAACAATATAAGAAAAAAAGAAATACAGAGAAGGAAAAGTTGAATCTACTGAGAACCGAAGAAATGCAAATTAAAATAAGGCATGATTAGGTAGCCATCACGTATAAAGTTCTGAACAATGTTAGAGGGATAAAAGGTTACTGTACCTGGATAGGTTGGACCTGCAGGATTGGCTGAAGCGGGAGGCTTGGTACCTGCAGAAAGAAATTTGAAACAATGCACCAGCCTTATCAATACAAAAGTATGCATTTCATTTTTTTGCTTGATTTAGGAAAAGACTGATTGTTTCTCAAAATAAAAATCCACATACACCCAGAACATTGCAAGTTTACTCCCAGGAATTCAGTCTAAATATACATTTTTACACGTAGGTGAGGAGGTATGCATAAGTTGTACAACACAAATCTGTAGTTTATAATGGAAATGTAGGAGTCAAGTATAAATCCTAAAACTTAGTGTGGTTTAAAAGCTCTTCAAGTAGTAGTATATTGCATAGTTTGTATCTTTTTCTGGTCGGCATAGTATGTCTTGGACATTCTTTCACATTAGCACATTTAAACCTCACTTAACATCATTTATGTTGCTCCTGGTGCTTTTGGTATAGTGTATCTGAAACTGATGATAAAAAAATGATTAACAATCCCATAAGGAGAGTTGATTTTCATGTTTCTTTTAATCCCGGTAGTTTCTTCTCCACGTAAGCTTTGTCTTACAAACAATTAATTCCCCTCGTCTTCCAAGATGAAAAAGAACC